TTTTTTTCATTTCCTTTAATACAGAAACAATCTTGGCCAAGTTCAAATTCTTTGCCCCCTCTTAATGAACCTGAGCAGAGAGAGGTTAAATGTGAATTGGATCATCTGAAAATTCCCAATGATGGTGCTGATGTTTGGGAAATTGATCCTCAATTCTTGAAATTTGAATCGAAAGTAGCATCCGGATCTTATGGTGACCTGTAAGTAATATAAATATTATCTTTTATGGTTAAACTTTCCTGTGAGTTTATGTACTCATTGAACTATGTATTCCCAGATATAAAGGTAATTATCACAGTCAGGAAGTAGCAATTAAAATTCTCAAGACAGAGCGTTTGAATATGGAACTGCAGAAGGAATTTGCCCAAGAAGTATATATAATGAGGTTTGTCGTGGTTGCATTATCACCATCTGTAGAGATGTGCTTGGCTGCTTGCTAGAGTTTCTCCTGACTAATTTTCAGATGGTTCAAATTTGGATTTGCATTAGCCTTTTGTATTGATGAAAGTTCAGTTGTACCCTTGCGCATGCTTCCTAAATTAACTGGCATGAGTCCTGCTATTCTTTTATACTTTTCCTAGAAACTTCTTTTTCTTGCACATATATTGCGGTTCACTAATTAATATTGGAAGTTCCTGAATTTACACATGTTGCTTTTTCTTCTTCCCTTTTGTTTTTTGTTTTTCTGTTCTTCTTTTCATTAGTCTGTGTATTTGCAGGAAAGTTCGTCACAAAAATGTCGTGCAGTTCATAGGGGCATGCACCAGACCTCCTAACTTGTGTATAGTAACAGGTGTGTGTGTCTGTCTACCTAGTAGAACTAGCTATGGCATGAAAACTTTGGAGCTCAGAATAGGTTTAGAAACAAATATATTTATTTAGTTTCTGTTTTGGTCAATTGGTTGCAAAAGTTTACTGTTTTTATCAACAGAATACATGTCTGGAGGGAGTGTTTATGACTATCTTCACAAGCAGAGGGGTATCTTTAAGCTTCCAGCCTTGCTCAAAGTAGCAATTGATATATCAAAAGGCATGAACTACTTACATCAAAACAATATAATTCACAGGGATTTGAAGGCTGCAAATCTTTTAATTGATGAAAATGAAGTAAGCATCTAGCAGTTCATCTGCATGACTTAGTTTTGTGTCTCTTAAGCTGCTACGTTGTATTGCTTCCATCACACTGTAGTTTTTTTCCCTTTAAGAGAAGTTACCTTGATTGTGACCAATTCACGATTGATGTATTACTAGTGTGGAAAATGAGAAGTCGAAGGTTTTGGCTGTTCTCCTTTATGGGAACAGAATGAAAGTCTTTGTCATCCAACAATCCAGTTCCACCTGCCTCTTTCAGATATCAGCCATTTTCTATTATAGCTTTGGGATGAGATGTCTGAGGTAATTATTTTCAGGTTGTAAAGGTTGCTGATTTTGGGGTGGCTAGAGTAAAAGCACAAACAGGCGTGATGACAGCAGAAACTGGAACATATAGGTGGATGGCCCCTGAGGTATGATTCTTTAAGTTTTGAGAGTTACTGTTCTTTATCTACATGGAAGCATGAGCCACACTTACACTCATAAGGGTTGATGTACACTTTGATATTACGTGTACATGTCATGATCTTATTTTTCAGACGTCAAGAGTATGCTTGTTTATAAATTTTTTTGGTTTCGGTTGGATTTTTGGTTTGGGTTGGTTAAATTTGAAAAAGTTGGTATGGTTAATTGTTAGGGATAATGCTCCCCTACCCACGGTGGGCACATGTTAATATGCCCACTGCTTATGTGGCATGCACACATTGGTGATGTATTTTTTTGAACATAATAACATCACCAATGTGTGCATGCCACATAAACGGTGGACATATTAACATGTGCCCGCCGTAGATAGGTGAGCATTACTGTAATTGTTAGTGGGTATATTAAAATAATTCTTAAAATAAAATGATTAAAATTAAACTGATGTAAAAGTAGGAGAGAGAAGATGTGATGTGATGTGATGGTTAGTTAAAATTATGTGAGTAAATGAATAGTAAATTAAGGTTGATGTTGTGTGTAAGAACTAGTACGCACGGGTGAGAGATATTCATTAGTATTTATAAATTAAACATATTTATTAAATAATAATAAATTATATATATTAAATCAATATGTAATACAATTTACCTATGTTATTTTAT